TTTATTTATTTATTTATTTATTTATTTATTTATTTATTTATTTATTTTGTTTCCCTTCAAAACTAATCTAGCCTCATATCACATGGGTACAGCTGTTTTAACGTGTTTTTGTTAACACCAGATAGGCTGGGCATGAGTGTAAACGAATAGAGCATATAATGGTACATTATTTGGGGACAAAAACAAGTCGCGGTACTCCCTCGCTCTCAGCGACTATGCATGTCTGATACTTCACTGTAGATCTAATTGTTAATGTGTATAATTAGTGTGGGAGTGGGTATAAATTAATAAAGCACATAGTAAAATTTAACTTCAAAAATTGTATTAAGGTAGAAACCTACTCAGTTTTTGAAAAGGTTGGTCATAATTCACATGATGATGTTCATTTGTTTATGGTAATATTATGGTAATATTATGGTAATACTCATTAACGCAATTTCATAGAACACTGTGTTAGAAAAAATGCATTTTTCGACACCCATATTTTTATATAATCCAGAACAACAATAACAACAACTGCTCCTACATTCACAATATATATTTTTCAGTCACCAGCCTACAATTTGAAATACGCCATAATATCTCTGCCATAGGAAACTATGGTAAAAGCGTTATAATACTGACAAAATGGCCACTTATTACTGACATACAAGTTATTGCAAAATGAATAAATTCTGGGTATTTGCGTTTATAAGTATGCTTCTCCCTTGACAGATTTGATATAATTACACAAACAATAACTGTAAAGTGGCTTTTCATGAACATTTTTTTTCCTGTAATTAGAATAGAACGTAATACGGCATAATGTTCACATGCGATGGTCGTGTTTAATGATGTTTATGTGTTATGAGGGCGCTGTACAGAAGAGTTTACATTGTTTGATATGGTAGTTAACTTGAAATTTAATGTAGCAGTTTATTATTGGCATCAAACAAAATGGATGTTTGGGTACAGCGTATACACAAGGACAAATTCAGAAATCTAAAATTGAAAAAAAAAAAACATTCAGTATTAAAGCAGAGGTACATAACTTGGGGTTTGTAACTACGGTGACATGATACCAAGATCCCGTCACAATCTCGCTCTCGCATAAGCGTTCCAACTCAGAAAAATGCGAATGCGCATGCCCGAGGTAACTAGGATACTGGGATGTCCAGGTGGATTAAAATAGCTGCCCACGATATGACGGATTACGAGAACTATATTTTCTGTACATTTTCGATGTATTACATTTTTCACTATGATAGTGGCAAGAAAAGTTTTATTTTTTCATTACAAACCTTGAACATTGATATGTGTCATGTCAGAAGGTCGTAGCCTCAGTCTCGCTATCTACGAGAAGAGACTTGAATGGGATCTTGACATGATGTCACCATACAGTACTATGCGAGTTGCAAACCCCAAGTAATGTACCTCTGATTAAAGTTATAATGAAACGTACGTAATTTACGGAGCACATCGCATTTAGTGGCGAGAGTGATATAATCTTTCGTTTTAACGGGATTACAGTTTACAGTTTCACGTAATTTTACTGACAGCATTATTTACCTCTTATTACGTGTTTTATTTAGTTTATCCATGGTTTATCCATAGACCCTCTTTTAGAGGGTCTATGGTTTATCAGACCCCCCCCCCCCTGCTATCACTTGTTCTTGCTCGTGCCCGTGAAATAGTTAGCGCCCTCTATCGTACCGATGAGACAGACCAAGATAAAATGGCGACGACCTTAGGCTGTACGTAACGTGGACAGTGGAACAGATCGTGACCTTATTTCAACGAAGAATATCGTGATCGGCTACAAGATATGTCACGAGTGTTACTGTATGTAGGTATACTATACCTGTTGTCTTCGGTGCTGTTAACACGCGTGAAGACGTCCACCGGCGACGGCGAGGATGGTGACGACGAAGGCAAAACACATCATGATCAAGCACCGAGTGAAGCGACGATCGATGATACAGTCATCGAAGACAACAGGTAAAACATGTCAGGGATGATGGAAAATCTTAGAATCAACATGTCAAGTAATCAACAAACGTTGATTTATTGCGTCCACATTCCCTCTATCCTAGTAAGGGGGATTGGGAGCTTACCCTAATAATATAAAGGGTGTTTATGACTCACTCGGGTCATCACTGTGCGTACATGTACGGGGATTATGAGTCAGTATTTTCATTAGGATTTCGAGTAGGGGGCTCAAATTATAACAATAGGGAAGAGAAACTGTCGGTGCCCAATTTATAAGATAGATAAGATAATTCTTTATTACAACCATATTGAAAGGAATTCAATTTAAGTGAATGCAAATGTAATAAAGGTTTAACAAACTATTCTAAAAACTAAAACTATACTTATCATAAAGTAAAGAAATATTACTGGTACTTGGAGATAAAAATTAAAATATTACATTTCCATATATTATTAAAATTTAAATGTAATCGGAAATTAAAATGGTAAAGTCAGGCAATTTGCCTGGTTATCGGCTTCCAAGTTCAAATAAAAGCCTTTGAAATTGTGTGTACTATCTGTAGGTAGTGTGTTAATTCGATATTTGTTATATTTTCTTTATTTTAGATAATGTTCATATCATACTGCCATGCTTTATGTAGTCAGTGTTTTTGCTAAGACTGGGGAACATATGTACATGTGTATTCAACACTATTGAGGAGAATTCCGTATTGTTCTTTTGTGAAACAAATTCACTTGGGAACCCAGATAGTAACATTGTGGAACTCCGGTAATATTCACCTACTCACTGATCTCAACAAAAACACTGGATGTACTTTATAGTATTAGCTGTGGTTTTGCAGCTGTACATATAATTATATTTATTCAACACTAAAACGAACTACAGTGAGTTGTTTCATGGTCGTATAAAAATAAAATAAAATAAAATAAAATAAAATAAAATAAAATAAAATAAAATAAAATAAAATAAAATAAAATAAAATAAAATAAAATAAAATAAAATAAAATAAAATAAAATAAAATAAAATAAAATAAAATAAAATTTTATACACAGAATGCTAAATAACGCTAAATAAGATTACAAACACATAAAGGATCACAATAAACTTATACGGTACAATACAATACACTGGCTATTATTGCTAAGAAGCTGCACATATGCTGGGTCCGGTGTCAGAATTAGTATGGGGGCACACCCACAGGCACAGGTAACATTCAGTTATGTAATGTACGGGATGAACAGTGAAGAGAGTCGAAAACAAAATATAATCTCACTTTTCATATAAAATATAAACAATTAAAAGTGTATTTTCCGTTTTTGAATATCCTATATGTCATGCAGAATTGATATAAGCTTCAGTAATAAACAACATGTAAAATGAAGTAATCAACAAAAATATTTATTTTGTATGCAATCTGCAATGGTATTTCATTGATAGACGATGACATAGATGCTCAGGTGTAATCAAGCAACAAATATGGGGCATACAGTATAGATTTTGTGGCTACATTATTTTCTTTGATTACTGTGGAATACTTTATTTTCGCTGGAATTAATTATCGCTGAAAAGACTTTTTGAGCGTTGTGTATGGAATCACTTTTCACTGATTTTTGATGAGTTTAATGTGAAATATAGGAAAAAAAGTATATTCGCTGGATTTTATTTTCACGCAATCATCCCTTCAGCGAAAATAGCGAAAATATATTCCAAGCGAAAACAAAGTATTCTACAGTACTTCACTCTACAAGCTGTTACTGAAGCTCACGTCAATTCTGCTTAATGTAAGAAATATTCAGGATTGGATATATTTTATGAAAAGTGAAATTGTATTATTTTTTTATTTCTATTTTTTTTGGAATGACTACTGCGCTAATCAAACATATCGTTACGATCCTGAGATGATGAATTGTTCGAGTTACGAACATCAAGTTACGAACATCAAGTTACAAAATTGACTTCTGTAAAACCATGCCCAAATTGTAACTCAATGTTCAATTAACAGTTTACAGAACTTCGAGTTAAGGGCAATATTTATGTTTTTGTTGAACTCCCATTTAGTAACTGGAACTTGAATTAATAGTTAACCGAACTTCAATTACAGGCAACACAGAACTTTTGTTTTGTTTAACGTTGTATATTTCCAATAATTCGAAGTTCGTTAAAATGACAATTAAAATTACTAAATTTGAACTTTAAAAAAAAAAAAAAAAAAATCTAAATATATAATGAAACACACTACAGAACCACCAATTTTGTTGAAATTCAGAAGTGATGACTCTTGTGTCAATATCGACAGACACTATTTCACTGAGAGAATAAGAATCACTTTCAATCGCATTACTCTGGTGCAAACTGTGTGGTTTATCATTTGAATTTGCAAAATATACAGCAATTCTTGTACATCAACAATTAAATATG